GTCCAGAGTTCACTGCAGTGGTGTGGTTCATTTTGCATTAGCTTGGAGCTCACTGCAGTGGTAGCCAGGGTTGCATTAGCCCAGAAGCCAGTGTATGTATCCATCTGCTCTGGTTGTTCCTGTGTTCCTTTAGAGATTATTGCCAAACCTTCCAATAAAACCCTGTTGGAGAGCTGGACACCAGTGACTCAGGCCTGTAATCCTAGTTATTCAGGAGGCTGTAATCTAAGGATTGTAGCCCAGGTAAGAAGGTCTGTGAGACTCCAATTAATGTCCAGTTAATCACCAAAAAGCCAGAAGTGAAGCTGTGGCTCAAGTAGTAGAATGCTAGCCTTGAGCAAAAATGCTCAGGGCAGTACCCTGAACTCAACCCCCTCCAGGCTTAGGACCACAACCCCCCCAAAAAAACCCCCCCCACAAAAACTGTAGAATCTTGTGTTCTCTTTCATCTTAGCTTCCTGCAGCCCACAATTTCACCTTGCTGGATGTATGGACTAGCAAAACTCAAGAGGTTGCTTTAGTATAATTTTAGTATGCCAGCCTTAGTCATAAAGCAGAGAATTTTAAAATGCAAAATTAAACAGTTACACATTTCACCTGCTGTCAGCACAGCTGAGAAAAAAAGGTGCTGTCATCTAGCCCGCCTCTAGAGGACCCTGAAAGCGCCTTCTCGGTTGGTCATAATATGCACACTCTAGCTCCATGAGTTTGGAATCGTGGGACTCCTTGAGGTTGCTCTGGGGCCTGGAATCAGAGAGGCAGACCCAAAGCCTGATGGTGTGGGTTGGAATTACCTAGTTCTGCCACTTACTGTGTGACAGCAAACAACACCCAGTTTCCTCTGTAGAGACCATACAGTACCTACAGCAGGTAGTAATACAGAATAAATGAGAGCCAGGCGTGATGTCTCATGCCTATAATCCCATCTTCTCTGGAGGCATAGATTCAAGGCCAGCCCAAGCAAAAAGTTCAACAAACCCCTTCTTAAACAATAGTTGGGTATGATGGTGTATGCCTATCATACAAGTTGTGATGGTAAGCATAAATAGGATCACTGCCCTGACACCAAGTTAGACTATTCAAAAAACAAGCTTGGCTTGGCTTAAATAGTTCAGTGCCGGGCACTGAATCCAAATCTCAGTAAGGAGTCAGGGGAGGGAGGGAAAAAGGGGAGAGAGAGGGAGGAGACAAGCAACCCAGAGTGCTTGGAATAGTGAGTGACATGTAGTGAGCCCGTCATTGTTCTCTGAGGTTACTGTTGGGATGCTGGAGTGAAGGAACTTGGTTGGGTAAAGGGCTTAGCATGATCTTAGCCCAGAGGAAGCAGTGAGTTCTGAGTGAGCTCAGGGCCCACTTAGCCAGCGATGACAGTGCAAGGACCCTTCCCATGTGGAGGTGTGACAGTCACACGTGGAGAATGAAAATCTCTCAGGTTGTTGAAAGCAGTGGGGAAGGAGCAGAGGTCCTTCACCTAGTGGGTGGGCTTCCTGGTTGGTGCTGTGAACTTTCAGGTGGAAGGGAGGAGGGAACTGGCTCTTGGGAAGTGTTAGTGATTGGACAGTGGATCCAGTGAAACAAAGCCCTGTGACCTTTAGCTGGGGAAGAGAGAGAATATAGACTTTGTGCTGTCTGCATCAGGTAGTGGGAAAACTCAGATGAAGGAAATCAACAACTGGTGAATAAGCAGGTAATTGATTCAAGTTCCCTGAGATGTGGTACACTAGATGGATTGCTAGTGCTTGCAGGGCTGTACATTGGTATAGTGTCCAGGCTGCAGCCTCTAAGCCATGCTGGGCACTGCAGTCAGTAGGAGGACCTTCAAACAGAACTCAAAGCAGAACCTCTGGAAGGAGCAGCCACCCCTGTTCCCTGGCTGCTTATGGCTCCATCTTTTGATGCCTTCCTCTGCTTCCCTGCCTCAGCTCTGGCTGCTTCTTACTTCCTCTGCTCCAGACACTTTGTTCTTTGTGTACACATTCAGGTGTGTAAGTGACAGCAGACAGGTCAAGTCCACTGCTGGTCATGGGAAGTGAGCCCACAGTAGAGTAACAAGTGGGAGAGAGGCAGTCCCAGGGAAGGTACACAGAATTGTACAGATGGGAACAAAGGCAAGGCAGAAGGAAGGCCATCTACATTCTTTTTTTTTTTTTTTTTTGGGTCTGGTCGTGGGGCCTGAACTCAGGGCCTGGGCGCTGTCCCTCAGCTCTTCAGCTCAAGGCTAGTGCTCTACCACTTGAGCCACAGTGCCACTTCTGGCTTTTTTCTTTTTGCTTATGTGGTACTGAGGAATCGAACCCAGGGACTCAGGCATGCAAGGCAAGCACTCTACCACTGAGCCACCTTCCCAGCCCCGCCATCTACATTCTTGTTTCTAAGGATGTCCCAGGTTGTTTGCAGCCTGAGCCAGATTCTAGCACCTGGGCAGGTAGGAGGGGAGATCCTGGCCCCGCCCATGTGTGCTTACTTAAGTGGGCAGCTATGAGTTCACTTTAGTGAGCCCACTTTGAAGGTCATGTGTTGAGGCAAGGAGTGGTAGTGTAAGCCTATAATCCTAGCACTTGGAGGATGAGGCATTAGGCTCAAGAGGTCAAGGCCATCCTTGGTTATATAGTAAGACTGTCTCAACTAAACAAAACAGAGCAACCAAACCAGTTAAGCAGAGTCCTTAGAGGTTTTGTTGTTCTTTGGCAGCTCTTACATGCATATGCATGTCCAAGGTGTACTTGAACCAGTACTGCCTCTTCTAAGCTCTGATTCAGTCCTTTCTGCTCACAGATGTTTGGCAAATGCTAGTGCACGTGGTCTCCTGTCTTGTCCTCTCATCCCACATTGCCCCTGGGGGAATTACTTTTCCTGCTGACATTTCCATGGAAGTCTGAAGTTGTAGGGCAGAGCTGGTCAGATTGTACATTCATACCATAAGCTACTTACAGTGTACATTCATACCATGAGTACTTGCTAAGACTCAGCTTCCTCTTCTGCATGTGGGTATGGAGTGTGACACTGTCTGTTGGTTTACCAAGGGCAGCCTGCACCTGGGCATGTCACTGGAGTGCTGTGGCTATACCATAAGCATCTGGCTAGAGAAGCAGTACAGTGCCTCTGCCAGGGTGGTGCCTCTAGGGATGGCAGATGGTGCCAAGTCTGGGCCCAGAGTCACAGATGGGAAAAGGGAAGAAAACTGACTTCTCAGTGGCTGTGCTTTTTGGACTTAGAACGACTCATATTGCTTAGTTATCAGTGTCATGCTATCATCATTATGTACTCTAGGCTAAAGCTACCAATTGCATAGCTTTCCCCTCTTTGGAATAAAGCTTATTCAAATTTCCAAAAACCCAACTTATAGATTAAAAGTATAAAAATGGAGACTCTCTTTTTTTAAAATTTTATTTTATTGTAAAGATGCTGTACAGAGGGGTTACAGTTAGATGAGTAAAGCAATGAGTACATTACTTGTCTATCATTGTTACCCCTTCCTTTGTTGCTGTCCTACTATCCCTTCCCTCTCCCCCCCACCCTTTAGAAGTAAGAAATGCCTATACTGAATTTATCTTTTCTTGAGCTATTAGAAGGTAGCAGATTCCATTTTCCAGGACAGTTTGAAGCTCCTCTGCTTTGGAAGGTGTTTTAGGGATTTTGTTGAGACAAAAGATCTAACTTAACAGCTAATGAATTGTGCTTCAGAAGGTGACTTGGCCCTGCCCACAAGGTGGCCCAGCTGCTGAAGTCCCCAGCACACCAGCATGCTACCATGCCAGGGTATTTCTGTATAGCTTTGGAGTTGATTTCTCTTTAAGCAAATAACTGATGATACTTTAAAGATTGAAATGCTGGCAGGCTGCAAAGTTGAATAATTTTTTTTTCTTGGCACATAACATTATTGAGAACTACAAGAGCTTCATTGTGAGAAAAAGGAATCTTTTCAGCTTGGAGTTTGCTTTCTGCCTATGTTGACTCCTTTGCTGGTCCTTGTGTTTACCTTTGTCATAAGGTCAGAACACTCACACTATAAAACCCATCATGTCTGCAGTGTGTTATAGGCTGTCACTCAGAGCTCTCACTCTATTCTTGGCTGTGTGACAGCGGATGGACACTGCATTTCCCATTGATTTCAAAGTTATTCTTAAAGTAGCAGCCATGCTCCCCCTGACTTACAGTAGTAATTCCTATCTAGTAGCAATCTTATTTCTTAAGAATGATGAGTTCCAGCCTAAACTTGGACAGGTAACTGTATAAAACTCTTGTTTTCTGTGGATGCTAGGGTGTTAGGGTGACTTTGCTGTACACAGTGGTCAGTTGCTGTATCCTGGAAGTTTATGCTCATAGTAAGGGCTACAGGGGCTGTTCTTGATGAAGTATTCTGCCCTGCTCAGGTCTACCTTGAACTTTCACTTGGCTATTTTTTTTTTTTTTTGCTCATGACTGGTGCTCTGCCATTTGAACCACACCGCCACTTCCAGCTTTTTGCTGATTAATTGTAGATAAGGGTCTCTTGGATTTGTCTTCCCAGGCTGCCTTTGAATCTCGATTTTCAGATCTCAGCCTTCTGAGTAGCTAGAAATACAGGCATGAGCCACTGGTACCCAGATCAGCTCAGCCTTTACAGGATATACCCAAAGTAGTTTTTTGTTTGTTTTAATGGGGAGTGTTGTTTTTTATTTTTTAAATGTTCAGATATGCTGCCTTTAGCCTTTGATTTAAAAGCAAACAGGATTCATTTTTGCTACCAGATTCTGTTAGAATTGTTAGCACTGTGGTGCTAGAGATTCACACATTTTAAAAATGGTTCTAGGTGGCTGGAATGTAATAGTCAACATAGATTGGCTTGAAGGTCACAGTGGTTTCCTTTGGACACTCACAAACAAGCATCTGTAGAACTACCTGAATGTTTGATGTCAGAGTTTGGTCCAGTTGCCTGCTTCAGGTTTCAGTTACAAACTTGCTTATTGAACTACTACTAGATGCTCTTTTGGTATGATCCTCTGTTTCTTGATTTACAGAATGCTACTGAGCCTGCAGTAGCCACTGAGACCCTGGCTGAGGTACCTGAGCATGTGCTGCGAGGACTTCCAGAGGAAGTAAGGCTTTTGCCCTCTGCTGTGGACAAAGCCCGGATTGGTGAGTACTCAGTCACAGAGACACAGGCAGTGAAAAGCAGGCAGCGCAGCTTCCTGTGAGAGCATGTGCAGCAGGCGTTCTGCCTGTAGATGTGTCCTTGACTTACACTGTGTGGTGCTGATGTGTCTTCCCCTTACATATCCAGGATGTCTATAGAAGATGAAAGTAGGAATACATCCCCACCCATCCCCACCCTTGGCGAATTCACCCTTCTCCTCTCTGTGGCCTCTTCCCACAGACTGTGTCTCAGTATGGTTATGTTATCATGTTGATTTCATGATTTTGTAGTTGTCTTTACATCTGCCCTTGTCATTTGTTGTGGGTGCCTTGATTTCTTATTTATGTCTCCAGTACCAGGCTCTTTGTGGACCCTCAATAGGTATTTGAGTGAGTGATGTGACCACTGTATTCAGACGCCTCTGTATGGGATTACATGTTGAATACATTCAAGCTTGTATCACTCACATTTTGTAGCCTTGTTATTGGATAGAAAGTTAAGGGAATAGAATATAAAAATAAAAATTTAGTCCTGAAAGATACCATGCTTATATTCTGTTTCTTTTTTGTTTTTTAGATATATTTCTGTATATGAATGTTTTTAATTAGTATGTTTTCTAATTTTCATTCAAAGTTTAGTCAGTGAGTAATTGGAGTATTTATAGTATTCAAATAAAAATGATTTTTAGCCAGACACTGGTGGCTCATACCTATAATCCTAGTTACTCAAGAGTCTGAGATCTGAGAATCTCAGGAGACAGCTAGGATATACAAATTCTTGACTTTCCAAATATCCAGCAAAAAGCTAGAAGTGGAAGAGTGATTCAGGTGGTAGAGTGCTAGCTATGAGTGAAAAAGGCAATCAAGAGTATGAGGCCTTAAGCTCAAACCTCAAAACTGGCACTCTCCAACACAATTTAAAAATGTTGAATGTATATCTCAACTGATTGATTACCGGTAGTATTATAAAATTTAGTTCAAAGCAGACGTAGAGAAAAGTGAAGCTCTTATATTCTAGCCTTGCCTCCACTTTTCTGGTGACTTCTTCTGCATGTGAGTTTGCTCCCTGGCCAGCACATAGGAGATGGGCATGTATTCTTGCTGTTAGAAACTGAAGACAAGTTCTTCTGGCTGCCACATTGTCAGGAGCCCTCTAAAAACATCTCACATTTAATGAAGATGACTTTAAATCCGTAGATAGACAGATTTACCATAATCTGTTATTTTTCTTGTGATCATGTTGTTCTTCTGGCAGAAGAACAATATGTTAGTTTGATATGTACAAATCATAAAACTCTTATCTAGTTATAAAACAATGAAGATTACAGAAGTTATCTGTTTAGAATCAGATGAAATCAAAAGCCCCTTAAGGATTTAATTTAATATGATTTAACTTGGTCATAATTAAACCTTGCTTTATTTTGGTTTTGGTTTTCAGACACTCTAGCCTTTTAACTGTTTTATGAAACTGGATTGACTTTAATGCTTTCAGTAAACTATAGTAAGCTATAAACTATAGTAAACTATAAAAATACTGGTTTCATTTCTTAGGTGTCTGGGCCACTAAACCAATTTTAAAAGGGAAAAAGTTTGGGCCATTCGTTGGTGAAAAGAAGAAGAGATCTCAGGTGAAGAACAATGTGTACATGTGGGAGGTAAGGCGCGAACTCCAGCTCTGCTTACGAGAGGTCTGTACATTGTAGAGACATCACTGTCCTGTTTTCTTAGGATGTGATAGTTTAAAGTAAAAATAATGATCAAATGTGTTTTTTGGATACAGACTATTTATATATGTTGTTTATTTTTGAAGTAGCTCTGCTTTCCTCAACAGTAAATGTCAAATCTATTTTTTGTTTTGCTTTGCACTTCAGTCCTGGACTTCCTGTGTTTTAGTTTGTCACTTTATAGATGACACCAGATACATACCATAAATGACACTGCAGTATGGCTGCAGAGGAGTCACTGTTTCAGAACATCACTTCTGTGTCACATTATAGAGCTTTTAATTTTGCACAAGCTTTTCTTTCTCTTCTGTGTTCTCCCAACAGCCCATGAAGGCAGAGCAAGGCAATAGCCTTTAGAGGAGAAAAGCCAGGAAACAGGCACAGCCAGATCCTTGTCTTCTGTCTCACACTGGCAATTATAGATGTTTGCACCTTTGCCTGGGTTGAGGTTCTGCTTCTAGCTTTGTGACTTTGAGCAGGCTATGTAGTCTCAGGGCTGTAAGTTCTTGAATTGAAAAAAAAATGGTGACACTAGGACACATTTCACTAGAAAAGTTGTGAAGTAAAAAATGTTCCCAGGGTACTGAATGGAATCCTGCACTCATGTAGAATGGAGTTCAGGTCACTGCCTTGGGGGTGGTGGGGGAAGCTCTGCAGTCCCAGAGGGCGTCCACATATGAGTCCTTTAAAAACAAGTTCAGTTGTGAGATGATAAGCTCTCACATCTGTTTCTCACATGTGGGCCTATAAAAGCCTGGAAGAAAAATATGGCTAGGAAGTGTGTAGAGACTTGGCTTAGGAAGTGGGGCGTTGAGAGGTTGGAGGCAGGGCTGTTTCCTCAAGGCTATAAGCAGGGTTCTTGGGTTGATCTCATTGTTGCTCCCAGCCCTTTGGAGTTGGAATGTTTCCTGTAATCACTTAGGACATACCTTCTGACAGAGGACCCAGAGGCCTTAGGAAACAGGACTTACCACCACAGTCATTGCATTATGCTGTTTCACCACTTTGAGGTCACAGCTATGTAACTATAGAAAGACTGCCCAGGCAAGAAATGCTTTGAGTACTAAAGACCATGTCTGCATCATTAAAAGTGTCTACACCATAAAATTATGCTCCAAAATAAAGTGCATTTTTGCTTTCAGATGTTTTCCAAAGGAAACTAGCAAACCTGCTGAACCATAGCCAGGATAATGTTAAGGAGCTGGAGCGTGCTGACTCAGCTTCTGTGTATACAGTGCTATTGAATTAAACAGAAGTTGATGGTACTACCTGTTGCCTATATTACAATTTGAGGTTGCTGGGCATACCATATAAATGATTATCTCTGTCTGTGTAAGGGAAGTTTCACTTACACAGAAATCTGTACACAGTATTATCAGAGAGGAACTTGTTGAATATTTGTGATTTAGAATCTGTAAACTTGTGATTCCCCCCTTCCCTGCCCCCCATTGTTGAGACAGTTCAGTTTACACATTGCTGCAGTTGTAAGTCCTTGTGAGGGTGTGTGGTCAGGGTTAAGTGAAGGTGGGCAGGGAAATAGGTGTGGCTCTCAGGCTCAGAGCTCCTTCTATATGCATATATTTGATATGGGACCTTTGATTTTAAAAGTGAGTGAAAGCCTTTTATTATAAGTTCGGTTAAAATGAAGGTAGATATTAGTGATGTGTATGGCTATACATATATCTATACATATTCATATGCAATGTGTAGGAAGTATAAATTAGAATGTATATATATCTAATTAAAAACAAAATTGAAAATCAAAGTAAAAATTAGTATTTTCCCCTAAATTATTCTACTTTCACCAGAATACTACTTATTCACATAAGTAGTATTGGTTTGTCATTAGAACCTCATCCTGGTTGGTAACTGGTCTTCCAGAAAAGCCCCCTATGCCCAGCATGTCTTTTGTGGCAGCATCTTTTTACCTCTGCTAGAACTTCTAATCTAAGACAAAGTGTTACATTGCTTTTCTTGAACTCATGATTAGCCAACTCTTCTGTAAATCATCCAAGCGTTTATGGAAAACATTGTATTAAAGAGTAACAGGAGAAACAGTGGTATATACACGGAATGAACACACAATTCAGGTGGGTTCTCAAAGGGGAAGAGCTGCTTTGATGGCTTGGTGGGACGCTGTGATGGAGTTGGGGTATGGACTGTGAGTTACGCATGCTTCTCTTGACCACTCCTTGGTCGAGCAGTCTGCAAAATTTTCATCCACCTCTGATAAAAGCCATTCCAATTCACTTCTTTGGGGCTCAGATTGCTCCTAATGAAAAGAAGTTTTGAGTTGTTGGAATAAGAATTAGTTTAATCTTTTTAAAATAGACTTTTTAAAAAGCTATTTTAGTTTCCTAGATAGGACCTGAAGGTTTCTCTCATGATGTTTTGTGCTTTGTAATAAGATACCACGGATGGGGCAGTTTATAGACGTTCTCTTGGCCCACAGGGCTGCAGGCTGACAAGTCTGAGACTAAGAAGCAGCTTGGTAAAACAACACAGAACAAGGTGGGACAGGAGATTGAACACAGCACCTCAAGCTCTTTTGTTATTGGCATTAAGCCCTTCATCATGACCTAAATTCCTCCCATTAGCCCACATCTCCATGCTGTTCCATGGGGATTCAGTTTCCCCAATGCTGCATTTTGGGACCCACTGAAACCAGAGCGTTTCTCTCTGCCCCTGTTAACACCCACAGCCTTCCCTACCATCCACATTTTGTCCTCAACTAGGGCACTGCTGCCGTGTGAAACCTGCACTGATGCATCACGGTCGCCCAGAGTTCATAACTTAGGTAGGGCACTTTCTTGGTGCTGTACCTTTTAGTAAGTATTTAACATTTGAAGGTAATGTATGTTCATTACAAAATAATATGAGCAGTACAGAAAAATACAAACATGAAGCCAAAAGTCATTTCAACTAAGAAAGTTATTTATTCTTTAATCATTGGGAACTTGTGCAAACTACTCTCCAGAGTAGTTGTATTCCAGTCTTTCTGCATAACTACCAAAACCATGTTTTTCTCCCTAGCTTTATGAATCTCAGTACTTTTAAGTTTTTTTTTTTTTTGGCCAGAACTGGGACTTGAACTCAGAGCCTGGGCACTGTGCCAGAGCTTCTGTTGCTCAAAGCTAGCACTCTACCACTTGAGCCACAGCGCCACTTCTAGCTTTTTCATTTTATGTGGTACTGAGGAGTTGAACCCAGGGCTTCATGCATGTGAGGCAAGCCCTCTATCACTAAGCCACATTCCCAGCCCTAGTGCTTTTAACCTTTTTAAAGTTTTAAAACAATCTGTTCTTTTAACTGATAGTTCCCTGTTTCTCTTTGCATTTTATTTTTTTGTGCAACAAATTCAAAATTTAGTAAATGTTTTTCTTTAAACACATATTGAAAATTACAGCTTTATGCCATTTAGAGAAAGATTTGTAAATGTGCTCTCTATATAAGTGTATTCATTCACTTTGTAAATTAAAACCACAAACCCAACCTCCCATTCACTTTACACAAGGACACCGTCCTTGTCTATTGGCCAGAAATATCCTAGACCAGCCCCAGTTTGCAGTAGGCAATCAGTTGTGACAAAAGTCACTCCCAGGAGTAAAGACACCTCCTTATACTGTTAACTCTTAGGATAAGATGGGCCTTTATGCCCACCAATAATCACTGTATTAAATTTTGAATTTAGATTAGTTTGTATTGTATAACTATTTCAAAGTGACTATTAAACTAAATGAAAATTGGGTGGTATGAAAATCACAGATAAAGAATGCTTGATCTCTGTTGAGTGACAGAGGCAGAGAAGGCCTTGATAGCTTGGGGATTAGGGATGGTTTTGGTTTGCTTTCAGTAATCTGGGCAGGTGTCTACCTAGATTCTCTAAAGGTTTAGCTACAAACATGTAAAGCCTGGTGCCTGGTATAGGGGGACTCCTCTTTTGCTAGTTCTTTCCCAAGTGAGGAGTTTTGGTCAAGTGAGTTCACTTTTCAACAGTGCTTTATAGTAGTCCATGATCCAGGACCTTTGCTTTATTGAAAGGAATTTTATTATGGGTTGGAAAACAATCCCAATTGTCAGGAAAACCATCTTTGATTTTATGTAGTATTTCTCTTTGGAGTTAAGAGAGCTGAGTATTTCTTGTTCACCATGAAGGTCTGGAAATAGACTTTTTGCATGTTAGTTCTTGGGTTTGAGCTAAGGTGGGAGGCCTTCTGTCTTTGCTTGAAAGGAAGTGAGAGTAGTTGGCTTTCCACTATCTTTCTTCTACCCTGGCTGATGGGGACTGGCAGTTTTCAATTATAGTTACATTGAACAAAATCTTGTCACATCTTGAAAGAAAGTTGTGTGTGTCAGTCAGCAGATTTCAAGTCCTTGGAAACCAAGGTTTGGCCAACTAAAAGGTGAATTCTAGCAGAACCTTTTATTCTAGTTCCTAATTACAAAGTCAAACTCAATAAAACCAGGAAAGCTATGCTCCAGGGCTGGGAAGGTGGCTCAGTGTTAGAGTGCTTGCCTTGCATGCATGAGGCCCTGGGTTCAATTCCTCAGAACCATACAAGCAGAAAAAGTCGGAAGTGGTGCTATGGCTCAAGTGGTAGAGCACTAGCCTTGAACTGAAGAGCTGAGGGACAGCACCTAGGCCCAGAGTTCAGGCCCCATGACTGGCAAAAAAAAAAAAAAAAAGCTATGCTCCACTGTTTTTTTTTTGTTTTGTTTTGTTTTTTCTTTTTTGTTTTGAAATCAGTGTATAGGATGATGTAAAAGAGAGCATAACTTAGCATTCGGCAAACCTTAGTTACTTGCTTTCCAAAAGTCTGGATTATTCTTCTCATCCTTCCCCCTTCTTTGTGGTATACATTCTCCTAAATCAGTGAAGGGCTGGGTGCTGGTGGCTTACACCTATAATCCTAGCTACTTAGATATGAAGATTGTAGTTCAAAGCCAGCTCAAGCAGGAGTCTTTGAGACTTATCTCCATGAAACTACTTAGAAAAAGCTGAAAGTGGCACTGTGGCTCAAGTGATAGAGCACAAAGAGGGTAAGGGATAGCACTCAGGCACAAAAAAACAAAAACAAACACAAAATAGCCAAAAATCAGAAAAAGAAAAGAGAAAATAGGAATTATAGGTGGGTTCTCTTAGCTCACGCCTTGTAATCTTAGCTACTTGGGAGGCTGAGATCTGAGAATTGTGGTTCAAAGCCAGCCTAAGTTGAAAAATATGTGACTCTTGTCTCCAATTAATCAACAGAAAACCAGAAGTGGCGCTGTGGTTCAAGGTGGTAGAGCTCTAGCCTTGACAAAAGAGTTCAGGGGCAGGCCCCAAATTCAAGCCCTGTGACTGACTGCCCCTTACCCCCGAAAAAAGAAAATAGAAATTATAAATTGTCCTAGTTGGAGGGGAAAACTGTTATTGACATATTTATTTATTTGTTTTTTTATTTTTCTCTTCATATTTTCATACTTAATCCATTCTATCCTTAAATGGCTTTATTCAGTGACAAATCTGTTGTGAATATTTTTCAGTAAACTGACTTGCACAACATCTATTTAGTTTTTTTAATATTAAAGTGCATTAATTTATAAATGTTACATGTATTTATTTTTATTCACTATAAAATAATGGGTTTCATGTGGCAATTTTATTCTCCTTTGATTATAGAAATAATGCATGTTAGTCAAAAAAAATTGAGCAGCGTAGAAATATCTAACAAAACAAGTTTCTGTGTAATCCAGTTAATTATTTGTGCAACTTTTTAGTGTCTCGGTATTCTGCTATATGCATGGGCTGTATTGCACTGAACTAATTGCATACTGTATTTCATCTTTCCCTGAGTTGGGAGTGGTTAGTACGTGGCTATGAACATCTTTGTACACACATCTGGGTATAGTTGTCTAATTATCTCAAATTCTTCCAAGTATATTTTTGGATTAAACGTGTATATAGAACATTTTCTTTTGTTCAGGTATAGCTAAATTTTATCAAAATTCCCTCGGGGCTAGGCACTGTTGGCTCATACCTATAATCCTAATTACTTTGGAAGTTAAGATCTGAGGATTGGGGTTCAAAGCCAGCTCAGCCCAGGCAGAAAAGTCCATGAGACTCATCTCCAGTTAACTACCTAAAAATTGGAAGCGGAGCTGTGGCTCAAGGTGATAGAGCATTAGCCTTGAGCTAAAAAGCTCAGGGACCAGTGCATAGTCCCTGAGTTCAAGCCCCTCTATTGACCAAAAAACAAAAAACAAAAAATCCTCAGGTTGGAAGCATGGCTTAGTTAGAGATCTAGCCAGTTAGTTGAAGGCAGCAGATACAGGGTTTGAGTCCTGGTATTGCACCTTAAAAAAGAAGAAGAAGAAGAAGAAAATCCTGCCAATGTGTTCTCTGATCATCAGTACTTGGGTAGAGTATCTGCTCTCATACATTACTTCCAAAGTATTTTTTCTTTTTCTTTCTTTCTTTTTTTTTTTTTTACTGATTGAATTTACATTGCTTTTTTTTCTTTTTCTTTTTATTAACATTATTATTATTATCTTTAAGTAGTTGTACAAAGAAGTTCCCATTCTACAAAACAGTATATGGTATTCATTTTCTTAAATACGTGTTTTCAGTTTAGTTTGTGAAAACTTTTGAAATTATTATTTTATTATTAAGTTTATTACTTTTTTGTGCCAGTTCTGGACCTTTAGCAGTGTCTCTGAGCTTTTATGCTCAAATTGGTACTCTACCACTTGAGCCACAGCTCCACTCGTGGCTGTTTGGGTGTTTAATTGGAGATAAGTGTCTCACAGGCTTTCCTGCCTGGGCTGGCTTTGAACTGCAATACTCACTTCTCAGCCTCCTGAGTAGTTAGGATTATAGGCATGAACCAGCAGCCCCTGGATAAGTTTATTCTTTTATGAGGTTTCAGGTATGTATTTATTTGTGAATTATGTACCTATTTTTAAAAAGTAAAATGTTTATTTTTTTCTATAAAAGTCAGGTGATTTCTTTTTCTTCTTTTTGCACACTAGTGTACTTAGAAGATCCCTTAGTCTCCTTTGGAGTACTGTGAGCTGTGCATAAAGAACTCAGTCAACCAGAACACTTCACTTTTTGCAAAGGTCTCTACTGACTTGTGAGCCAGGAAGTTCCAGCAGAGCCTGCATTGATGCTGAAGCATGTAGATAGTCTAGCTGCCTTCTTCATTTGTGCGTTTCTCTGGCAGCTGTCTCTGTGTGTGTTTCTGCTGTCCAACTGATCTCTGTCAGTGTGCCAGGGTGTTGGGTGGTGGGGTGGGGGAGTGGGTGGGCGTGGCTGAAGTCCATGGGGGTATCTCTGAGCTTCTGTGACCAGCTAGTGCTCCATGACCATCCTCTGTTCTGTTTGCTAGCTTTACTATGCCGGCAAATAAGATAAAATTGCCCTGTAGACATTTAAACTAAAAGTGACTGAAAGTTTGTTGTTTGTGTTAAGTTTAACCTAGTTTTGCATTATAATACTGTCTCTTTATGACCTACCATTTGGGGGGGGCTATTGTGTCTTTCTGCATCTGTCCTTTTAGGAGCAGAGGGTGAGTGTGATAATGGGGCTGAAAGGAGTCTTTAACAATCAGATAACCTCTTTTTAGAACGGTGCTGATAGGTGTTTAGTAAATGGCCTATTTTTGAATAAACTGGTAGGGATACTTATATAACAGTAAAAGTATTCATCTGGGGACTTAATTTTAAATAAATGAACTGCACAGCACTTCTGGCCTGTCCCTGTCATGTGCTCATTAGCTGGTAGCCACACTGTCTTATTAGAGGTATTAGAGGCAACGTAGAGGGGAGAAGTCAGAATGAGTATCCAGGAGCAGTCAGCAAGCAGCAAGCAGGGTTACTAGGCAGTGCTGTGCACAGAGGGAGGCCAGCATGGGAAGCTGCTGTGGGATGGGTCGGTGGTGACTCCTAGAAGAGGAGCACTCTCTGCCAGACACTGTAATGCACAGAGTAATGTTCCATTGCACCACAGGCCCACAGGTGTACCTGGATGGGGTGTAGGCATTATCAGTGAGCTTCGTGTGTAAGTGTGTACAGATGCTAGCTCATCAGGTGTGCTCAGTTCTTGTCCACCTTGCCAGAACTCTGTAGCCCAGCAGTCCAGCCATGCATGGACTGGCAGAACATTCCAGAAAACTCCGGTTTGGTTGCTGTTAAACACTGTTGCCATTTTCCTAAGTTCACCTGGGGGAATGGAGTTGTCACTTGTCCTTACATGTATGGATAATGTAATTGCTAAAGCAGGACTCATCTAGAGATTAAGTGTATTGTCTACAGTACCTTTATGGTTAGAGGAAAAAATAAGCAATAGAAAAACAATGAGAATTACAGCTTTGGGTTTCACTTTTCACCTTGTGTTTTTCTTTATTGCTTGCTTGCTTTTGTTCCTCTGAAATGCTTTGTAGAGATACTTGTATTTAATGCAAATGAACTTGAAAGTGGAGCCCTGTTTTAACCCAGGCTCATTTCCCCATTGCCAAGGTATATTACCCCAACCTGGGGTGGATGTGCATCGATGCCACGGATCCAGAGAAGGGGAACTGGCTGCGCTATGTGAACTGGGCTTGCTCGGGACAAGAGCAGAATTTGTTTCCACTGGAGATCAACAGAGCAATCTACTATAAAACTTTGAAGGTAACAGCATTGGAATTGGCCACTGCCCGTTAACAGTAGTGATTGTGAGACCAGGGAAGGATCATGTCTGAGATGGATCATGTGACCTGTGCTCTCAGGGTTCTGATTACATATATTTTGCTGCCACTTTGTGGGGTCAGGGCTTCAAAGTGTGAGGAAGGCTGTGTGGAGTAATTACATGCTGCTGATTCTCCACATGGCTGATGACCACTGCGGCCACTCCCATCTCTCTGCCATGCACAAGCAGCTGTATTACAGCCGTATTTTGTTCAGCAGAGACAGTCTGTCTTCAGTGCAAATGGAGCCATGCAATGGCTTTCCTTTCCTTTAAAACAGAGCATATTTCTTCCTTGGTCCAATTTTTTTATTTGAAGATATTAACTGTTGAGGTGGGAAGGAGAAGACAGACGTGTTCAGGCTGGGGGGAGGTGTCCAAACATTGGGGACCTTACAGCCTGGAAGCCTTGTATGTTGCTGCCTTCCTTAGGCAAGCAAGATGCTCTTTCTTACCCTCACTCTCCAGGTCTGCATACTATGCCAGGAAATGTTCTCAGGCCAAATCTTGGGGCTGAGAAGCTAGATCATAGATGCTTTAAAAAAAAATAAATTTTAGCGGGCGCTGATGGATCAGGCCTATAATCCTAGCTACTCAGGAGGCTGAGATCTGAGGATTGTGGTTCAAGGCCAGCCCAGGCAGGAAAGTCTGTGAGACTCTTATCTCCAATAAACCACTAGAAAACCAGAAGTGGCATTGTGGATCAAGTGGTAGACCACTCACCTTGAGCTGAAGAGTGCAGGGACAGTGCCCAAACCCAGAATTCAAGCCCCATAACCGACAAAAAAAAAAAAAGAGTTAATTTTAGTTAATTATTTGTGCTGATACTGGGGTTAGAACTCAGGGCCTTGTGCTCTCACTTTCTCACTTTTTCACTTAAGGCTGGTGCTTTGCCACCTGAGTCACACTTCCACTTCCTGGTTGTTGCTTTTTTAGAGTGAAGACCTTTGTTAAAATCGCCATAATGGGGGCAATTTCTGTACTCATTTCTATTAAATATGTCAAAGTCTGGAGACAAGCCCATGAGAGGCAGTCTCTGTGGAGTGGAGGATTCTTGATGAGCAAGCACTGAAAATGGCAGCTGGTTTGGCAAGGGGCTAAGTTTTGTCAGTGTGGCAGCATTGGCCTTTGCAAGTTTAATTAGTACATGCTATTTGCTGTTTCTCTGCTGTGTTTTTCCTGCCATGGCCTGGTACTTCATACCACCCATGTCAATTATTTCTAGGCAATGTAGGACTAAAGATAGACATACACAGCATGTTTGTGCTATTTTCTCACTGATGAGAACAACAAACCCTCTCTTCCCATTTCCTTTTGCTTCATGTGAGAGCATACTTTTCTAGTAGGATTATTGTAGTTTTGAAACATTGGATTTGAAATTGAATTCAGAATGGGATGCAAGAATTCATTTTGTTTCTCAAATTTATTCAAAGTTGAGAGACTAACGTGGTTGAACCAGCATGGTGGAACCTCGGTAGTGATGCAGTAACAGCAATGGATGAAGTGGGCCAGTCACTCATGAGAAGAGGGCACCAGCACAGCTTTCTCCTTAAGCATCAAGTTAACTTGCTTCACCCTGACAGCAGAATGCGCAGAAGCCAGATGTGATCTACAGGGTTGCCCTGAGCCTGCCCTGCCTCTGTGTGTGACCCATAGCAAATCCTTTGTCTGTGCCTCAGCTCCCTTGTGGGAACACAGGTCGTGGTAGTGTGAGCCAGAGTTGTGGTGAGCACATGGTGAATGCGGACAGAGCTAGGTGATGCCTGTCACTTGTGGTAAGGTATGGCGTTGTGCTCAGCATTGGGGGGTTCTAGCCAAGTTCTTGGTCTAGTTCTTAGTCTTCTCGTCCATGAAGATGAAGTAGTAGTGCAGATTGAGGGTTCCTTCTCCAAAATGTTTGGGACTAGAAGTGTATTGGATTCTGGATTGCTTTGGATTTTGTATCTACATATACATAATGTGGTATGGGTAATGTGGGATGGGACCCAATTCTATATACAAAGTTCATCTAATATAGGTAGACAGAGGCAGTTGGCACAGTATTTTTAGTATCCTCATTTTTTGATTGACCTGCCACATGAGGTTAGGTATGGAATTTTCCACATGTGCTGAATTTAAATTTGTAGCATTTCAGGTTTTGAATTTTGGAATTAGTCACACTTAATGTAAACATGAATTCTTATATTTGTTGTGAAGATTAACTAAGCCACTATGTAGCATATTAATGTAACTACCCTACTGGCCGGAGTACTGTTACTTTTGCCTATCTTTGAAAAAGCATGATTCTGATTTCTGACCTATGGTATCTGCCTAAATACACGTGAGGCCTTTCAGGCCCTTCTCTGACAACATGAAGTATGTTCTTCTAGGCATTGTAAATGAATCACATGTGCTGTTCTCTGGTCCCTGTATTCCACCCAAGTAACTGGTACCATCAGTATCACTTTTGTTTGTACTGCAGTTAACAACTATTTTGGGCCTATGGATATAGCTCAGCGCTGGAACACTTGCTACTTGTGTCTAGCACTGCAAAAATAAAAATAAAAACCCAAAACAAAGGAAGGAAGCTGTTTTAAAGTCTCCACAGTTAATAGTTAAGCCTCTGTCCACTTATTTGTTCATTAATTTGACAAGTATTGATCACATGTCTGTACTGTCTATAGTAATGAGCAGGATACAAAAGGACTCCAGTCTCATGGAACGTTCATCCACTTTATGGGGAAGGAAGAAGATAATGAGTAAATAAATTGACAAAATAATGCTAGACAATAGTACGTGCTTTAGACAGTGACTAGATAGAGGGAAGCCTGCTTTGGCTCCAGGGGGTCAGAGCAAATGTTTGTGAGAAGTGACATTTGAGTTCTACCCCCTATACCCCATACCCTCATAGAAAGGAGCCAGCCCTGCAAAGAACTGGGGGAAAAGAGCAGTGCGGGAAGATGGGCCAGTAGGAGAAATAACTTGAAGTGGACAGATAGGGGACTTTGGTTTTGAAAGGTTGTTTTGGTTTTGTTGTTTTGCTGAAAGAGTAGAGCAAGGCCAGTGTAGCTTGAGGAAGGAGAGGAGTCGTAGGAGGTGAGGGCTGCGAGATAGATAGAGGCCATATCAGGTGGGGCCTGATGACCCACAGGGAGAGGCAGGAATGTTAGTCTTCAACTCTGCACCCATTCCAGATCAGAGGCTGAGTTCTGATTGTGACATAGAGACCAAGCTAGGGAATGGTTTGTGGAGGCAGAGGAGATGAGCTCTTTGTGCAGTGATTTCTCATTCTCATCCAGCCACAGAAATACAAAAACCTGGGTCTCGTTTCAGTTGTTCTGGTAAAATTCAAGTTTAAATATTCTGATGATTTAGAGAAGGGAGTGTGCTTGGTTTTTATAAAGCCTGTCACTCAAGAGTAAAGTTGGAAGGTTTGGAAATCTTGTTGCCTTTATTTTTAATATGAAAATATAACACAGTCATGTACCACAAGCACAGGATCACAGTCTTAGTAAATGCCAGCAGCTAATGACTCCTTATAGTTTTAGTTTGTGTGGGTGCATGGTATTGCTCCTGCAGCTCGGGATGGCCTAATGACACCTTTCTCTGAAAGTGTCTCCTCCCATGAGATGCATAACTATGTATGGTTTTTTGATTTTAGTTTTTAAAATATAGATTTATACTTTAATGACACAGCTTTACTTCCAAAATTTGAGATACGAAATCTTGAAATGCAAGGAGTGAAAGATTTAAAATAGCATTGTACAGGAGGGGAAAACTGTTTGATTTTTTTAAAAAATTGATTTAAAAATTAATTCCTCTATATAGATTGTTATCTCTGTAGCTGTTTTAATATAAAAGTTGGGAAATGTATTGTTCCATAGTTTAAATATCTTGGCCACCAACTATTTTGAAACTATTTATTAGCAAATTAAGTCAAGTTCCCCTAGCATTTCACCAGCCCATTGGTGTTTAAAATGTTTTATATAAGTCATACAAACAGATTCATGTGGTTTCATGGTGTTTGTTTGGCAATAAGAATAACTTGGGTGGCATATGTGTCCTCCTACTTAAAAAGCTTGGGCTAATTTTTTTTATTCTTCTCTTTCTTTTGGTGCTGGGGATTGAACCTAGGGCCTTGAATAAACAAGGCAGGTGCTTTTCCACTGAGCTATATTCCCCAGTCCTGTGCTGATAGATCTCTCTGATGATGTCTGCAGAGGACTGGATACACAAACAGGAAGGTGGGAATAGGCATGCTCATTCTGGGAGGCTTCCTGCGGGTGCCAGTAGTGGCCTTGGTGTTGCAGTGATGAAGTTTGTGTGAGAAACATGTTAAAATACATCTGTCCTCAGTCCATTCTCTTTGACTTTAAGATTTTACATGTTTCCTAGAACCCTAGCCATTTCAAATATTATTTTATGTCATCATTTCATAAATGTCACTTATAGCCAAAAGGTAAAGGAATAAACTGTGTTTAGAATTTATATAATCTAGAAACAATTTATTTCTAAAAAGTAATTTACTTTTGAGCCAGGTGCTGGTGGCTCATGCCTGTAATTGTACTCAGGAGCTGAGATCTGAGGATCGTGGTTCAAAACCAGCCTGGGCAGGAAAGTCTATGAGACTCTTATCTCCAATTAACCACCAGAAAACCAGAAGTAGTGCTGTGGCTCAAGTGGTAGAGCTCTCACCTTGAGCTGAAGTGCTGAGGGACATCACCTAGGCCCAGAGATCAAGCCCCATGACTGACCCCCCTAAAAAAAAAAAAAGAAAAAGAAAATGACAGGTTTTAGCCATTCTGGGGGAGTAAAGGAAACAGTAGCTCTTTTTTATTTTAGTTTGAAGAATTGAGAGTATTTTGAAATCTGAACTACATACCAGGAGTTCTACACATTACCCTCAAGTGCTTTATTTAAACAACAAGGCCCAGAACTAAAGAACTATATTGTCTCTAAATTGACATTTATTTTTTAGGTTTTTTAAAAATAAAATTTTAAGTAGTTGTGCAAAGGGCCTTCAATTCTACAAGTCTGATTATGAGTACAGTGCATCTCATCAATGTGAACTCTCATTTTAGGTGGAATTTACCTATCCTTAACAAAAGCAGGATCAAGCTGAGCACCAGTGGCTCACACGTGTAATCACTATTTAGAGATCTGAGGAGAATAGTTTGAAGCTAGCCTGGGCAGAAAAGCTCAGGTAGAGTCTCATGACTCTACCTCCAATTAACTATCAGAAAAAAATAAAGCTGGAAGTGGTGCTGTGGCTCAAGGGGTAAAGCACTAGCTTTGAGCAAAAGAGTTCAGGGACAGTTCCCAGTGGCTCATGCTTGTAATAATCTTAGCGACTTAAAAGGCTGAGATCTGAGGATCAGGGTTTGAAGCCAGCCTGGGCAGGAAAAGTCTGTGAGACGCTTATCTCCAATTAACCACTCAGAAAACGAAGTGCTGCAGTGGCTCAAATGGTAGAGCGCTAGCCTTGAGCTGAAGAGCTGAGGGACAGTGTTCAGGCCCAGAGTTCAAGTCCCATGACAGACAGTTTAAAAAAAAAATCAGGGAGCCAGCACTGAAATTATACTCCACAGCAATCAGTGTAGTTTTCCTTACAGAAAAGAATGCTGTGGTATTTGAATATCATATGTTCTGTCTCTTTAGATTGGATGGTGCTTTCAGCTTTGATAACCTTTCAGTTTTAAGGAGAACTGGCAATTAGTTTTTCACAGAATAAAAGTTATTCTTACATGTCTTCTGATTAAACTGCATTTATGCCTTATGTGTAGAAATCTTACATGTAGAACTCTGCATCCTATCAGGAGGGACACTGGATGCTCTCATTACACAGATAGAATTTTCCCCCTTGTAATTAATGAAATTTTGTGGTGAGATATTTCTTTTTTTTTTTAATGTGGTGAGATATTTCTAGACTACACAAGTATTCTTGTTCCACTCCAGACTTCCACTTGCTAGTCTGAGCATCCATTGGTGAGTCTTGTCCCAATCAGTTTTCTGATGATGATTGCCAATTAATGGATTTCGAATTCTCATTCCTTTTCATTGGTTCCTTGATATCTACTTGAAGGAAAGGTCTTTCTCTTTTATCACTTGTTCATTCATTTACCTTAGGGTCAGGGTGAACTCCTGGACTCCGGTTCTGCAGGTTTTAGATCGTCTGTTGCATCTTTTGGGAAAGAGGAGTCCCCGAGAGAAAGAAGCCAGTAAGCCGGTCCCCTCATTTCTGTGCAGGGACCAGCCCAGCCTTTCTCTTCACAATCTCTTCTTCGGAGTCTCCCCGGGGTGGTGGCGTGATAGTGCCGATTCCCACCCCTCCAGTTGTAGGAGCATGGCAACTGGCTGGTATTCAGACATTTTCCTGAGGACCAAAAGTTGTGATGTGGGGTCTTGCTGTCTTGGCGCGGACTGACCGAAGCGGGCCGGCGGCCTCGCGAAGGGCTTCCCTGAACGCCCCTGGGTGTCCGTCACCTCGCCTCTTTTCGTGGCGGTGGCTTGAGAGCTGGGTCAGATCCTGTGGGGACGTGGAAGTACCTGGCACTCAGTCTAGAATAAGCGCTAGTGCGCTCCTGGCTTGCGGCTCTGACTCGCTGCCGGGCCCACCCTGGGCCCAGGAGCCTCCCTGCGCGTGACCGCGAGCACCCCTCCCGCCCTGCGCGCCCACTAGTCCTTCCAGCTGGCCCCTCCTCCCTCCTCGCGCGCGCCCACGAGCCCTTCCTTCCAGCCAACATCTCCTGCGCGCGTCCGCGAGCCCCTCCTCCCATCCCGCGCGCGTCCGTGAGCCCTTCCTCCCAGCCGGCCCCTCGTGCGCGCGTCCGGCGGCGGCGCCCGCCCGACAGCTGTTTGCCACCGGCGCGCCGCTCCCGCTCGCCGCGGTGCCGCCCCGCCTCCGCCAACAACCGCCTCTCTGATTGGACCCGTGCTTGTCTCGTCTCTCTCCACAGCCAATCGCGCCGGGCGAGGAGCTCCTGGTCTGGTACAATGGGGAAGACAACCCCGAGATAGCAGCTGCGATTGAGGAAGAGCGAGCCAGCGCCCGGAGCAAGCGGAGCTCCCCGAAGAGCCGGAAAGGTAGGACCCTGGGCCGGCGCCCGCTGCGCCCGGCCCCGCGCCGACCCCTCCAGTCGCCGTCCGGGTGGCGGGCTTGG